GACTCAAGAAAAAACCAGAAAATGTGTATAGACCTATATAACAAGAGATTGACTCAATAATCAAAAACCTCCCAACAAAGAAAAACCCAGGACCAGATGGCTGCACTGCTGAATTCTACCAAACACTGAAAGAAGTAACATCAATTCTGTAACCCTCCCAAAAATAGAAGGCAACACTTCCTAACTCACTCTATGAGGCCAGCCTTACCAGTAAAACTATAAAATGATGCTCAAAGAAATAAAAGACCCAAATAAATACAAAGTCACCCCATGCTCGTGGAATAAAAGACTTAATAATGTTAATAAAGCAATGTTCACCAACAGAATTTACAGATTCAATACAATCCCTAGAAAATTCCAAAGCCTATTCTGTAGACATGGAAAAGCCAAACCTGAGATTCATATGGAAATGCAAGGGACCCAAAGTAGCCAAAATAATCTCAAGAAAGAAGAACAAAGTTGGAGGACTCACCTGTCAATTTCAAAGCTTACCACAAAGCTACAGTGTTCAAAACAATGTGGTATTGGTATAACGACAGACATACAGACCAACACAATTGGATTGAGAGTCTCGAAAGAAACCTAAATATCTAGGTCAAATTATTTCTTTTTTCTTTTTTTTTTTCCCCCCCAAAGGCTTTGTTTGGATTTATCATCCACGTTAGCAAGTCCCTTGTTGACCAGCCACTTTATTTTTATTTTTTTATTGGGGAACAGAGTTTTTTTTCCAGGACCCATTAGCTCCAAGTCAAGTAGTTGTTTCAATCTAGTTGTGGAGGGCACAGCTCAGTGGCCTATGTGGGCATCAAATCAGCAACCCTGGTGTTATGAGCACTGCGCTCTAACCAACTGAGCTAACCAGCCACCCCTAGATCAAATGATTTCTGACAAGAGTGCCAAGACCTTAGGAAAACAAGAATCTTTTCAAAGAATGTACTGGGACAACTGGGTAACCAAAAGAAATGAAATGAACACTTACTTCACACCATGTTTTTAAAACGTTACCTAAAAATGAACCAAAGACCTAAATATAAGAACTGAAACTATAAAATTTAAATAAGAAAACATAGTGGGTAATCCTCATGACCATGAGAATTTGGCAATGGTTTCTTGGACATAATGTCAAAAGCACAAGAAAATAAAGAAAAATAGATAAATGAGCTTCATAAAATTTAAAAGTTCTGTGCATCAAAGTAAAACACAACCCACAGAGTGGGAAAAAAATACTTTCAAGTCATGTAACCGGTAACAGCATGGAAACAACTCCTACAACTCAACACAGATACGTAACCCAATCCAAAACTGGGCAACGGATCTGACTAGTCATTTCTCCATGAAAGATGTACAACCAACCAACAAGCCATATAAAGAGGCTCAACATCATTTGTCAGCAGTGAAGATACCACTCTACACCAACTATGGTGGCCTTAATCCAGGAAAAAAAGTGTGGCCGAGGGTGTAAAGAGACTGGGACCCTGGTCAAGTGCTGCTGGGGTGTAAAAAACAGTGCGGAGCTGTGGAAGTTATACACAGGATGACCCATGACCCTGCAATTCCACTCTGAGGGGTATAACAGAAGAACCAAAACAGGTGTTCAAACGAACACCCGGACACAAATGTCCCTAGCAGTACTATTTCACAGTGGCCGCAAGGCAGAAACAAGCCAAAGGTCCATCAGTGGACAAATGGATAAATACAACACAGTATAATTCTACAATATTTTTAGCCATAAAAAGGAATGGAGTACTGATACACGCTAAACGAAATAAGCCATAAACAAAAGGCAAAAATACTGTATGATTTCATTTACATGAAATATCCAGAATAGGCAAATCAGAGACACAAAGCAAATTTATGGTGGCTAATAGCCGGGGAAGGGGGTAATCTGGACTCAGTGTCAAATGCGTCTCGGTTTGCATTTTGGGAAATGAAAAGGCTATGGAACTAGAGCGTGGTAATGCTTGTATGACGTTGTAGGGCTGCTTCATGCCACTGAATTACAAACTTAAAAGTGGTTAAAATGGTAAACTTTATGTTATTTGTATCTGACCACAAATAAATAAATGAAGGAAAGGGGGAGGGAGAGGGAGTGAGGAGGAGGAGGGGGAAGGAAGGGAGAGGGAAGGGGGAGGGGAAGGGGAGGTCTCAGGCACAATGCTGGCATGCCCACAGAGGTCCCAGAGGGCTGGAGCAGGTCACCCACCGATGAGCCGCAGTGCTGTCTGTGCGAGGGCCAGTGTGCCAGAGTTCAGCAGCAAGGTCAAGGTGCGTGCCCCGTGCTGCAGGGTGAGCATGCTGAGCATCACCAGGAGAAAGCGAGCTTGCGGGGTAGTCCCCAGGCTTGGTCCTGAAGGGTTCTCGTTGGTAATGGTTTGCAGGGGGACGGGCTGGATACCTAAAAAACATTGGCACCCACATGAAGTCTTGTGCCCATGTGGACACAAGGACATACATGACGCAGAGAGTAGGAGCGATTTTTTGAAACTCTGTTTTTCAATGGATGTCTAGCAGCCTGTGCTGTTCTGCCGCACACACAGTCACCACGGGTCCACCAAACTCACCACACCGCTCCTTTGAACATGCCCGGTGGCTTACTCATTCCATTTCAAATATAACAGATATATTTTACTTCTCCTCCACAAACCAGATCCTAGCAGTTCTCTTTAGAAATCAAGTATTAATACAGGATATGCACTGTAGGATGTGTGGTGTAATTGATCCACATGAAAATGTGAGCATAGCAAAGCTTTATATTAGGACACTACAAGATGTGTCTTCTGACAAATTCTGAAAGCTCTGTTTAGAATCTAAGGAAGCTGAAAGCAGCCTAGATTATCATTCTAATGTACAAAGTTATTCAAGGTCTCCCCAAAAGCATTAATCGGCATTCCAAATTTCCACAACATGTAATTTAGAGGCAAACTATGAAATAACACTGAGATCACTGACATTATTATTTCAGCATCAATTTTAATACAGCCTATTAACCATCAGATTATTTTAACTCACCAAGCTCTTTAAATTTGGCATTTGCATCCATCAAAATATTTCTAATATTCTGAACAGCCCAAGCATACAGCTTGCCAAATGTTACTTCCAGCAGCATCCGATTGAAAGGTGGGATCAAATCAACATCCTTCAAGCAATCTGTAAGGGGTTCCCTTCCAAACAAAGATGAAGAATTTTACTTAGAACATGGCCAGACTTTTAACTTTCATTGAACACTGTGCTGTTGGCACAGCTCCCTTGATTAAGAAAAAGTGTCACAAAGGTTTACCCTATGTCAATCCCCTGCGGAATGAGTCTCTGCCATCCACAGAACATAGCGTACTGCACAGATGGGAGTAAGGAGTTTCTCGTCGCCAGTTTTAATATTGTGTCTATCCCTTCCAGGCGGACCTCTGCTCTCTCCAACTGCAAAACAGATGTGCAGTCAGGAGCCCACACAGTCAGGGGCCGAGCGCATGCAGCACTCCACCCAAGGGGCCCACCGCGCCTGTACCTGTTTCAGCAGGCACTTCCTCATCTTCTCCACGTCCACCGGCTCTTCTTTAAGGGCGAAGTCAGCAATTGTGCTGAGGAGTGCGGACTGCGGATAAAGACCCTGGACATTCTGCTTCAACCACTTGTACCTGTGAACCCCTGTGACTGTGCTCAGCAGGGGCTGCCATTTATCCTGACAAAGGAAAACACTGCACCATGAGCTTCTCCTACAGATAGTGACGTGAGCTCTAAAACAGTCAGCAAATAAAATTCAATATAAATGCAGTCTGCTCAAGTTGGTAAGATACTTTAAACTTAGTAACTAAGTTATGATAAAAATAACTATGTCATAAATAGGCTTATAAATGAATTTAAAATGTCTATATTTATGTACTTTGGAACAGCTAACTTGGCATACAAAGTTACATTATCATCCATGTTAATAGCCTTAGGGACCAGGACAGTTTATGGAGCAAAGGCTAATAAATGAATGATGATACACTGTACTACTAAAAGTAAAGGAAACCCTTCTCTAGCTATGGGTCTGACCAGAGCACCACTAAGCATCACTGGGGCACAGTTACCCATGCTTTCAATAACCCATTACACTCCCTACCCTACCGATGCCTAAGGACCAAGTAACAATACTTGTACATTCTCTAGCTAAGTGCTGTGTCCCTAGTCAGCAGTCTCACAATCACAGAAAGCACTTCACCTTGGGTGATTTGATTGTCACGGGTCTTTTGTCCACATTTACAGGGCTGTGAGGCAAAATGCAAGCTTCTTCCAAATCACTCTCTTCATTCCCAATTTTTTCTTCATCAGCAGTAGATTCTGGCTTCTTAGGAACTGTGTTTAAAAACATCATTCATTAGGGCCGGCCGAGTGGCTCAGTTGGTTAAGAGCTTGCTCAAGAGTTTGAGCTCTGAGCAATAGCGGTTTGAGTCCGGCCCGAGCTGAGCTGCCGCTGAGCTGCCAACAGGTGGCAGGATGGCTCAGCTTAAAAAAAAATAATAAAAATTTAAAAATTTAAAAAATAAAAACATCATTCATTATAAAAACTGTTTACTTAAATATAGTTTTAAATTAAGAAATATTTACATTTCCACAAAGGCAAAGGACATGAATATTTTAATATTCACTGTCAACTGAAATGTTCAAACTACAAAAGTACAACTATCATAACAACTCACACATGACCTCCAGGAATGACACTTTGCCACTCCATGTCAGGGACAGAAGGACAGCAAGGTGCTACCATGGAGGAGCCCTCAGAATGGGAAGGCCAGGGGTCCCCCAACTTTTTCTTAAAGGGCCAGATGGTGTACATTTTACTCTCTGCAAGTCATTCAGTCTATTGGAAATTTTCAACTCTGCTGCCGCAACATGAAAAAATAGCTAACTTTATTTATGAATGTCATGATTTCAACTGCGTAGAATTTTCATGTGTCAAACATTATTCTTCTGGTTTTTTATTTAAAATGCAAAACCCGGTCTTAGCTCATGGATAGTGCACAGCAAGTAGTAGGCTGCATTTGTCCCCAGGCCTGAACTTGCCCTCCCAGGGATAGTGCAGTGGAGACTGTCACCAGGGTGCACTGGAATCCTGGAAGCCTTTTACCGCATTAGTCTCTTAGGAAAGTTGCTATTGGATCTGCAGCATGGTATGTGGTGTTCTTCCATCTTTTTGGTCTCTTTCCAGGCTTTTAGTCTAATTCTTGTCAGCATATAATATAAATAAGCAGCAGCATGAACACAGCAGGTCTGGGTTGCTGGAGCACTGCAAATTCTCAAGGCAGGCCTGTCCCTTTGGCTGGCCCGGTGTGTTCTGCCTGAGAGTGTCCCTGTGTGCTGAGGCCTAGGACACGTTTACAGTTTGACCAGAATTCATATCAATGATGTGACTTTCTGCGCTGGGGGCCGCTGTCTGAGTCACTGGGAGTAATCACACAGGCCCCTTATGTCTATGTGGCTGACCCCCAATAACAACCCCAACACACACCAAGGCTCTGGTGAGCATTGCTGGCTGACAGCCCTTCGCACATGTTGTCACACATCACTGTGAGACTCCACTGGGAGGGGACACTGAAGCTTGGGCCTGGTTTCCTCTGGAGTTCCCCTCTACCCAGCTTTCGTTGTACTGATTTTCACCTGTATCCTCTCACAGTAACAAACTGTAACGCGACTGTAACCGCTTCTGAGTCCTATGGAGCCCTCCCAGCGAGTCACCTCATTTAGGGGTGGCCTTAGAGATCCCTGACACAGCACCAGTATATTATTTCTAAGTAACTTAATTTTCTTTAAAAAAAGAAAAACAGCTTCAGCATCACACAATTAAATAAATAAACCCATGACAAGAAAGTTTAAGAGGTGCCGTGTAGGCTCGGAACCCCTAAA